GGGGGGGTGCGTACTAGGAAGAAAACCTGAGTCTACCTTAAAAATGTAGGCTCCTAGATCTTTGTAGAAACTGTGGAGGTGGATTTATCCAAATTGAAAGACACGTAGGTTTTGAACTTGAAATGCTCAAGTCCAGTTCTATTCACCTGTCTTAACCAACACAGAGAATGGGAACTATCGAGACCATACCAGATCTTACACAGAGCAGACTATGGGCTAGCTTTGTACTGCACAGCCAGGAACAGCCAGGCTACCTACTGCTGTACTGCTGGCCTTGCTTGTCTGTTCAAAAAGACACCAGAAGCAAAAGAAATAGCCATTTCTGAAGTTCAGAAAAGGTTGGCTAATATATTTCTTTTCCTGCTTCACAGAGAACCAGCAGGGAACAGTGGTTCAGTGTTGGCTTAGAAGGAAGTCTCTGCTTTGCCTGCTGACTTCATTGCCGTGGCTTCAGGCATGCCCTGTTTTTCTAGATAAGCAGCTAAACTTCCAATCCTCACTGCTAAACATTTTTGCCCATTACTTCTTGTGGACGGAGTAACTCCTTGGGGGTAGTGGGGAGGAGAAACAAAGCCAGCTTATCCTGAACTTCATGCCAATAAATGTAAAATGTTACTAGAATTCAGGAAAGTGTGTGTGGGTGATGAATTCAGAACCAATTTTACAGGGGGAAAATTTGCTGGAAGAAAAATAAACTCCTACAGTACTTTCCAAAACTACTTCCAGCTTTCCTTTTATAAAATCTCTGAAGCTGTCATGAGCCACTCTTGGTGATTAATGATTCTGGGATAGCTGATATGTGGGTGACAAATTAGTAATCAGCTTTAGGCTTACACAGACATCCAGCCTCTTTCCATTTCGTGTCCTACACCATCCGAGTACAAATTGCTTCCAAAAACATTTGTGAGATGTGATGGCTTAAATGCATTGGGAAGAAAGGTGAAAGCCAAGCTTTCCCTAAACCACAGGTTTGAAATCTATTTCTAAGCCTGCAGTTGCAGGGCTGTAGGGAAGTTCCCACATAGAGTACAGGTAGATGCTCCACTGCCTTTGCTGGGTTTTGTCTCTAGCTTGAGGTGGATAAGAGGTGGGGATTTTTGTTCAGTCTTAGTTGGTTCCGACCATTCCTCTCATGGGCCTGCTGACTTTTACACTTTATGAATACCATTATGTAGATTTAATTGGAAAATATATTACCTGCCAGCATCGCAATGCTTGCCAATTAAATAAAAAGCCACATTATCCTTTCAGAATGTTATGAATGTTATGAATGTATCCTGCTTTCTTTACTGCAGCCCATGCATCAGC